CCTGCTGTGAGCTAAATGACTTTTTTATGCATGGACTGCAAATATAATTATTTTTCAGGCTTTGAAATGTTGATTTCCCCACACCCCACCCCCACCCCTGCTGTTTTTTCACTGGCCACATGCAACAGACCCTCTCTCTGTCTGTCCATCCAGGCACTCAGTCTGCCTTGGAGCAAACAAAAGTAAACTTTTTAAATGGATGCTTAAGTCCTGTCATAAGTGTGTGTGTTTGTCATGCGACTTGAAGTATAACAAAAAAATATGCTCAGTATTGCATGATACATGTGAGAAGGGTGTAAAGGAACAATAAGCTGCTGCTTTTTAGAAACCTGAACCTCTAGTCCAACCATTGGAAGGCGATTTAGTGAAAAGTGTGTGGAGGTAAGAATATGACAATGATACACTCAATCTGAAGGCTGCTTAGCATAACCTATCTGGCATTTCCAGAGTTTTATCGTCAAAGTTTTTTTTTAATAAAAGAACTCATGTATTCTTAATAAAATAATACACATCATAAAAGTAACCAAATAGAAATGAGCCATTGGCTATGGTGCTAGTTTCTCCTTGGTAATGAAAATTATCTTGCTGGAAGTTTGAATTTGATCATTATTTGGGGAGGAGATAACAGTGTAAATGCTAGCGGGTTATTGTGATACCATAGATTTTGTATTATGTTCCTGACAGAATTTCATAACATAGTATCCAAACGAAAAACCCGTGGAAAATAAATGCTAAAAGTTGGTGCAAATAAACTTTCTGTTTAAAAAAAAAAAAATTGTCTTGTGTTTTCAGAGTATGTGTGGAAACCCTGTTACCTGATGGAGTACTGTTTTGCATTGACTGCCTTGCACATAAGTATGACATTGCAACGGATGATGTGTTACATGATGAAAAACTGGTCATGCATGTACAGAGCATTTCCCACTGGGCACCTGCCAGCATAGGACCTTACAGTCAGTCCATCAAGGTAGGGAATCTTTGTTACTTCATGTGAACTATGTGTCAGTTTACTGAAAAGAATACCATTGTAAAGTCTCCTTCTCTCCCATCTGAATGTGCAAAAGAAAATGTGTAAAAAAAAATAATTAAAAATGGGCATTTTAAATTTATATTTTTAAAACTTATGGACAAAACAAAAACGTAACCCTCATCAGTCTCTCCTTTTGTGATCATAAGACAAGTGAAATTATTATTTGTGGAGAATCTCAAGAACAGCCTACTTTTGTTATATAATTAGACCAAATCATTGTGTTGCACATACAATTTTATAATCTGCTTAGAATATAAACACAATTTAGGAGCATCCAAGGATATTTGAAATTTGTTTGTTTAAAGTTCAAACTTTTTTATAGGTAAGTCAATCCTAAATGCTTATTTAATTAAATCCCTCTTGAGGCTCTTGCTACTGCTTAACCATTTAAAAGTACAGCAAGGTTGAAGAACTGTTCTTTTTTAAAAAATAATAACAAAGTGAATAGAAAATTACAAACTATTTAAAAGTATGAAAAGAAGGCAGTAAAGTATCATGGAAAAGTAGACCAAAAGTTAGAATAAAAAGCTTTTTCCTAATATGGTACCTCTTGCCCAGCTAGTACCGTTATGACAATTGACAAAGTGTCTCACCTTTTCTGTTGCAAAAAATGTATGTATTCCTTTCTTACCAATACTCCTCTTGTGTAATATGTTGTGTAGTTCAAATTACTGTGTTTTGCAGACTGATTTAAGCAACATGTTATGGCATCTGTTTAAATTTCCTGAAACTTCTTTGAGTCCGCAAACCCACCTAGTGTAATGGCCATAGAATTGTACTTTGTTTTGTCTTTGTACCATTTTACGAAAAATTTCAGGAATAGTATTTTGCTCATGTGGAATTTGTTTCATTTGCAGGAGGAAATGTTCATAGATAACTACTGTATTAATCTTGTGGTTATAGCCGAGTGGGTTTTTATCATCTGTGTATATCTTTTTTTCTTGAGAAAGTGGGTTTGTTAAACTTTCTTCCATTGACTCTTACACCTTGACAGTCATAATTTTATCATGTCATGAATAGTCCTGCAAAGATAAAATTTAATAAGCTTTGCACCTTTGTATTTGGAGAAACTTCTTTGATATATCATTGCAACTAATCTCTATTACTGTCCTGGAGCTGTCATAGACTAAATAAAAAAAAGCGTGAACTGAAAATTGCTTTAGTAACCCAATGAACAGTCCCATGCTGCAAATGGACAATAAGCAGGCACTGCCAGTCTCTTGGATCTCCTGGTGGTATGGGACAGCCAGAATAGACAAGGAAAGGCTCATTTCTGTTCAAATATGGTGTAACTAGTAATGTTGGTCAGCAATTTAAACATTAAGGAAAACTTTCCATTGTTTTTTATTCATTCAATGTTTTTTACCCACCAAGGGAACATTTTAATCATGCAACATTGTTTTCCCTTAAGGTGGAAAATAAGTATTTTTACTTTTAAAATCCAATGACCACAGGAGTAAAGAAACAGTAATGAAAAGCTGCACCTCTGCTACAGGATCACTCACTTTTCATCCTTTATGGCTAAGTTCTCTCTCTAGTCCACAAATGGCTGTATGGGGAATTGGTAATATACATCCCAGCCATAGTTTTAGTTTTCCTTTGCCAGATTTTGCCTTATTACTACCACCAATATGTTTCGTCCGAGTATCAATATTTAATCTTATCTTGGTTTTATCTTGCTAAGAATCTTTGACTTCTTGGTAACATATTTCTATTCTGCAGAGCTTAATCCAGTAAATGTCAAAAGAATATTTTTTTTTTTCAGTGAACATACTTTATATTTAAATATTTCCTTTTCTTATAAAATAGCATATAAAATATACCGCCTATAAAACCTTATGAAAAGGTATCATAGAGGAATACATAAGTGCATAAAGAATTTATTTACATTTGAAAATTTATTAATGGAAGATACGGATCTTGTATCTTCTTGAATGTGACTTTTCCAAGATTAAAATATTCTTTAGGTGGGTTTTCAGAACTTTCTTGGACTATGTATGGGCAGGTATTAAGCTCTTAAGGTCACCAGTGGAAGTAAAGCACTTCAGTTTGTTTTAGGAATGGAATATATTTGGTGGAATAAATAAGGAAGGAAAAAAGGTGGGCTTTTTTAATCTTTATAGTCAACAAAAATTATTTAAAATAATAATAATTTTATGATGAGGAAATGTTCATCAGTTTTGTATGTTTGAGGAATAGAAGCTTAATGATCTTAAGACAGTAAATGGTTATTACCCTTATGTTGTGTATCTGTAGATTTTGTTTACCATTTACTTGACAACAGTTGGACAATTAAATTGTTTTTTCAGTCCAAAAACTGAACACTGGACACTGAGGAATGATCATGTATTTTCACACAGTGTTTTTGCTCAGTTCAGAATAGGCCAAGGACTGTAATATTCATAGTATTGCAAGTTGGGATTGATGTGCACTGGCATGTAAGAGCAGAACTGGCAGCGGAAAGGTGTAGGTAGTTCATGCAAACTATGGAATTTGCACTTCAAGCTCAACAAATCACTCCGCAGTGCATCACTTTAATTCTGTAGGGACCTTGCAGGATCCTGCCCACAGTGCTATAAGGACAAAAAAAAAATATTGGAATTTACCATGAAAATGTCTTGACATCAGTCTGATAGACACCAAACAACAGTGGCAGAATGAAATTAGGATTTTCAAGGTAGTTATAGCAAAATCAAACATTCTTTCTCTTTTGAGATTAACATTCTTTAAAAACAACTTCAGTGTTTCTACTTGTAAGAAGTAGACATAAACTGTTGTAAGATACAGTATGACTGACTGACTTATAATTAAGAAAAACCTGAGTTCATTTAATATCTTTTTCTTGGTCTGCTTGTTTTATTGGTGCAGAAACCCCTGCCTATCTTAATGTCTATGTCAGCAACTGCAATGTAAGCTATGTCAGAGTTATTGTAAAGGCTATACCGCTAACCTAGTAGTGTATAACAAGTGTTCTGATTATGTCCTTCTAATACTGGTACCACAGATTATCCAGGCTATTCAGTCTGGGAATGTGTGATGGTAGATGGTTTGCCTTCCTCCAGATCTCTGTTCTGCAGTGGGCACCAGCCCAATTTGTGCTGATCATTGGTAGTAGCTCAGTATTTTTACTAAAGATGCTTCCTGGTTTTATTTCTTACTGTTGTTTATCAGATTATAATTTTATTTTCATTTTTTAATTCTCTTTTACCAGTGGATTAGAGGATTTGTCAAGACGAAGCAGTAATTGGTAGCTTGTATAGAAACAGCTTGCTTACCGTCTTCATAAAAGCTAACAGCACAGTTGTACATCAGGGAGTTAAACATGAAGATGCACTGCAAAGCCATATTTGGGGTGAGAAATTTATACTGAGAGGTTATTCATGATTATTTATTTTGTGAGAACATTCTTTGAACATTTATGAACTGTGAGCATAGTTCATTAAAAAAAAATTTTAAAAAACCCAGTGCAGCTGAAACACAAACCACAAATACTTATCTAAGAATGCATGAAAACTTGACAGTATTTGTACCAGATGTTCTTCTAGTATGTTAATGTAATTTAAAAGTCTATTTGCACTTAAAGTTTGTTTGCTTTGGCAAAGTTTCTTAATGTTTTTCTATCTGAAAAAGAACAAACTGCCACAGTAGAATTTATTGTACTCTCATATTCTACAATATTTTTTGATGGTGAAATAATGTATTTTATACCGATAACAACATATATGCATCTATGACTTGATTATGTCTATTGAACCTTTTAGCTTTTCTTTGTGACCTCAGTTCTTTCCTGTTTTTGCTGACAGCTGCCAAATCCCAGTTTCAACCATCCTTCAGGCATCTTTTTCTCAGTTTTCTCCTCCGCACTGTCTGAACATGGTAGCACAAACATAAAAAACAAAAGAGTGTTCTTACTGTCTGATAGCAATATCCAGATGCCTATAACTTGATCAAGGTTTGGTTCTTTTTTTTTCTGTTTACTCATCTTACAATAAATTATTTTTTCCTTGCATTTTTCTGATCATCAAGGCATGATGAATTAGCGGCTAAGTACTGTGGGAACAATAGAACCAGTTGCATCTGATTTAAGGCACCGATACTTGCAGTGGTTCTAATGTTTCCTTGCTTAGAAGACTTAGTTCCTTCTCTTGCAGTGAAACTGAAAATGGTCCAGTAGAGCTTAGTGCATGATTTGCAGCAGATGGCTTTAAAAGGAGAAGGTGGTGTTGGAAATACCCTTGTCTATTATGTGCACCAGGAAAGATTTCCTGGCTACTTAAACTATCTGACTCATTGCGGTTTTCCAAAAGCATGCTTATCTGTTTTTAAACAAAATGCAAGTTTTGAGGAATCCATGCATTTAGGGATGCATGGATTATCCTTGTAAGAAGATGAGCTGAAGAAGGATGAAGATAGAAAGATGTCAGAAAATTCCTATTAGTGAGTCAGGGGTAGAGAAAAATCATGGTATGATTCTTAAAGATATAGTTCACCCTTTAAAAGACTGCTTTTTCACATACATATATCTAAGTTGTTTGTTTACTTCCTTCCTGTCTTTCCCTTCTGTGATTCAACAACAGTATATTATATGATGCCATGTGTAGTAATATAGGGGTAGAATACCTGGAGCTTCCAGCGGGTGGAAAAAAAAAGTGGTAATCAACAGTTCCAAGTCTAAATAGTGTTCCTCTGGGAACTTGAGATGATACTGTTAACATCTTAATCAAAAACTTGGACAATAGGATGGAATACATGCCTAGTACGATTGTGGACAACAGTAATTTGGATCGTGGTTGATGCATTGGAGGGCAGGGCTGCCATTCAGAGATACCTAGACAAGCAACTGATAACAGGACCCTCATGAAATTGAGCAGAAATTAAGGAAAAGTCCTGCAGCTGGGACGGAATAGTCCCATGCAGCAGTGTAGGATGGGGACTGA